TAAAACTTTAACGAATTTTTGATTAACAAACTCAAGGATTTCAAAGCGAGCAATGGCAACATTATAAGAAAAAACATTTTTATCTGTGAGACTCTGTATCGGAAATTCTAAAGATATCCTCAATTTAAAACTATTTTGCGATATTTTGCTCTTGAACTGAAGAACTGAAATATGTGGTTTAGGTGCGAAGAACGTGATATTTAATAAATAAAGATAACATTACAAATGTTAATAAAACGCCCCTTTGGACGAAAATTAAAATCTGATTTTTTTTTTTTTTTTTTTTACATAGCTTCATTGCCTTTGAAGCATTGAAAAGCATACAAAACAAAACTAATGTTTTAGCGTGTTTTTATTTCGATGTTGAAAATGCAGTTGCTGCAAATATTAACTAGTAAACTTTATCTAAGAATTTTTTCACGATCGAGGTATCTTCGTAGAGATTTTTTTTTTTTTTTATTTTTTATCAAGCAGCAAACTTTGCGAATTTAATATTTTAATTTAACCATATTACTGTTAGCATTAAAACTTGATTATTGTTTTCTTTAAAATGATAGAAATCTAAGTAGAATATTAACAGCACAGTTTACCTAGAGAAGCACAACGTACTCTCACAACTCTATTATCATTAAACTCTTGTTACAAAACGAAAGATTAAATTCAACACTTACACAGTTCCATCGTCATAACGTCTTACACCATTAGCAAATGTGGAAATCGAGCAATGTTAAAGGTACCGCACATACACACTTTTGAATAGCAAAGTAATTGCATAGCGAGGTGCTGAAGAAATCATTCGAGCAGCGCTTAATAAGTTGTATTTTAACTTCGTCGTTAACATAAACTTATATATTCGTGGATAAAACTTGTACTAAGTAAAGAATAAGTTTAAATGTTAAAAAAAGGGAAAAAAATCTGAAGGTTTCAGCTTTTTTTTTTTTTTTTAAACATTTTGTGTGTTACTTGTACCTTTATTTATTAATTATCATGTTCTTCGCACTTAAACCATGAAATTCAGTTGAAGATCAATATCGCAAAATAATTTTAAATTGAGCACATCTTAAGAATTTTGGATACACAATCTCACGCGATGGAGATAATTTTTTTTCTCCCTGTGCAACGTTGCCATTGCTCGCTTTGAAATCCTTTAGTTTGTTAATCAAAAAATTCGTTACAATTTTGTTAATCAAAAACGCGTTAAAGTTTTACAAAATATTAATCGATAATAAAACAAATTTCAAATTTGGGCTTCCAGATGCCCACATTCGCAGTAGGATTACGTTATTCAAAAACGTTATTCAATTAGGTACCGTTGTTTGATCACAATGCGAGAAACACACATACATTTATGCAGATTCTTCATTATTTAATTTCTTCAACTATAACACAAGGCGATAATATTTGGTGTGCCAACAGTTTGAAAAGTGAAACGGACATTCAGAGTGATTCGATGCAAAATTGCAAAACGAAAACAATAGTCCCTCAGAGACAAAGCCCCTTTGGACTAAAAAAACTCATATTTTAATGTTTGCGAATTTAAAATTCTCGCTGTATCGATGATCATTTTCTTTCGAATAATCTTTGAGTTATTTGTTAATAAAAGAAGGCTATCATGTCAAAGACTCATTTGATTGAAATAGTGAGAACCCATTATGTTATGTTTTCTTGCATTCAAATGAATAATTTACTAAATTTTAAATCCCTTTCCATTGTCAAGCATTTTTTTTTAAAAAGAAAAGAAGCGGGGAAGCGATGTTAAGAATGAAAAGTCTCTAGTGTACTTTCCAATAGTGTTCAAGTCAGCTCACCAGGATTATGGGATTCTAGTGTGTAGATGGGAGGGTAAAATTTGGCGTTGCTTGATTGGCAGAGCGAAACGAACAGTGATGGATGGTGAGGAGTTGCAGATGAGGTGCTCTGTCGGGGGGGGGATATTCGAGGGATCATCAATTGGGGCTTGACCGTTGAATTAAAGATGAAGGCGCTACATGAGAACATTGTAACGTATTATGCTGCAATGAACGTGAGAAGTTCAAACTTTTATTGTATTCTGTGTATTTCTTGATAATGTGAGTTTGTTCTTTTTGTTGAGTGTGTGCATGTGTGTGAAGAGGGTGAAAATTTCTATATATTCTCTTTGTTTCGAAAATATTTTGAATACACTTTATGGGTTTGTTCACAGCAAATAAACGAGAGATAATAATGATAAATAGATTAGTTTTTATAAGAATGCCTGCTCGCATAACATGGTTATTCTGTTCCATGAAAATTATCAAAATTTATATTTTTTAAAATAATTGTAAAATTTGTTTAGAGTACATCGTAGATTTTAGAAGGATTACCCAAATTGGGATTCGTAAGTCAGTCTTTTAAGTATGATGAAATAAGTTATATGCTAAGGGCACTGAGGTAACCGTGAAATGAGAGTTCCTTCTTAATCTGTATGAAATTCTGTAGTTCCATAAACTTAACGCAAATAACAGAAATCTTTAAATACAAAGCAAAATATTATTAAGTGTTAGTGACAACGAAATTTTTAAAGAAATATTGAATTTATTTTGCCTTGAGAGTAGAAAAAAATTAGGATATTATTTATATTTGGGAAATAAAAGGAGATCACTTTAAAATCGTTGCTCGAAAACAGTCATAGAATATTTTTTTAAATATTTTTATCCTAATATGTAAGCTGCTTGGAGAATAAATGAGAGTTATTTGACTTTTTACTTGTCCTTTGAAGGCCACTAGATTTTTTGAGAGAAAAAAGAATTGATTTTCGCACTTTGATCTTTACAGAACATTCGTTGCAAATAGGAGTAGGAAGGGTTATCATTTTTTGCTGTTAATCCCGCTGTGAGAGCGCGTGGCGATTTTGCTGCCACGTGGAGTAAATAACTAATAAAGAAGTAATTTATACATTAAGGAATTGTTGATTTTATGTTCTAAATGCAAATCCTTTTCCATATTCATACTGCGAATATGTGACTTTTCCGTTTTTTAATATATTCTTCAGGATTGATTCAAAGAATGTTACATCGAATGAATTACGAATAATAATAGATTGTGGACAGTTTCAAACAATTTTGATGAATGAGCATATTTTAGAAAGTTTGACGGTTAGATCTTTTTCGCTATGTAAATTTCGCTATGTAATTAGTGCAAAAATAATTTGTGATTAAGAAATGGAAATCGGTTTCGCACTTGTGAAGTTTTGTTGTCAGGTTTCGTTTTTTAAAAGCAGGTGGCAATTGTTTCCTTATTTTATAATTTCTCTTGAATGTCACATAAAGTAAATATTCGTTAGTTCTAGAATTGTTAAAGCTCTCATAATTAGAGTATGGTGAGGAACATTTTTACTACAGAAATTGGCATAATAAATTTAAATTTTGTCTTGCAACTGAAGGGAAAGTTAGATTTTAATTGATTACTCTGACTTTTTTTTTTTTTTTTTGTTATTTTATCTGCTTGTAAATGAGAAAACTTAATGGTGGAAGTTAGTACTTTTATCCCTACCCTGTTTGAAATCCAGTTTGATTAAAATAGCTACCTACCATTTTCTCTATTTTAAAAATTAAATGATTATTTAAAAAATAAATTGGCTAATCAGATCAGCAGTAGTAATATCCGTCCTGTGTTTTCATCCCCTAAAGTGTTTTCTCATGTTTGTTTAGCTAAAGGAGGCAATCACCTCCCTTTAACTAGTCTAGCCATCAAAGATCAATTTCTGTTATTCTTATAAAAGTCGTACTTAAAAAACTATTAACCAGGCCCACCAGCGGCCGATTGGTAAATTCGCTGAACATTATTAGTTCCGACTTAAGTTCGATTCCAGGTGAACGGGCTGGCTTAATGAGCGTTTTCGTGGTTTTATACATGTGTCACGTATATACAAGCCAGTTTCTGTTAGAAAGTCCTCCACGAAGGCATCCCTATCCTTAGGCAGATAGCTCATGAATACTTTGCCATACTTTAAAATAAACTAAACCAAACCAAGCTTCCCTCTAAAGCAACGTTTCTTAAACTGTCAGGGTTCGATTGCAACTCACTCAAGGGTTCCACGAAACTTCATTCACCCCCCATAACATTAAAAATATATATAGACAGCAAATGCGATATTCTCACGTCGCGCGAAATTCTGACGGTGGCGTCGGGAACAGTTTTTTTGTATTCTGCCGCAGCCGCGCTGGGAAATCAGCTCCAATACAGCTATCGGTGATGCCCGGTTCATTTCTTTATTGATCACTACACATGGGGATTCCCAAAGATCTAGAAATACACAGAATTCTCCAGTTTTAAAAATTCAGGGGGGATCTCTTATACTTGAATATAGAATGCCGAACATGATTTAACTTTTATTCGCAAATCTTAATATTAAGTAGATCTGCGACAGTAAAAAGCAGTGCTACTCGTTAAAATTTAAACTTAAAAGTTCTGTTTAGATACTTATTCTAAGAACTTTAGGGTTAATTTTGAAATTGCTTTAAGTGCTATTGCAAATAAATACTTAATTTATTTAAAATAATTCTCAACAGTTTATAGAATGTTGCCTTAAAAAACAACCCTATTGAAGTAAACCAGGGTTCTAAGATAAAAGTGGATATTAAAAAGGGTTCCACTTATCAAAAAGATTAAGAAACGTTGCTGTAAACGCTAAAATAAATTCGCCTTTTATTATCGACTAAGAGAGATATTTACGTCACATATCTTGTATTTGAAAATGAGGCTACATAATGGTAGTGGATTCTGATGTTTCCTTTTGTATCTTCGTTACCGCACATTTCGCACTTATAAATCGTAAATTTTGTTAATAAGTTGTTAAGCATGTCATATTTATTAAAATTCATTTTATTATTTTTGTGACTTTTATCGAACCATTTATTAATTTATAACTTTTATATTTAAATATAAAGTATTGCATATATTGTTACGTCAGATTTCCTTTTACGTATAAGTAGACAATGTTTCATTTTCATTTAACTGTATTTTTCCTTTGTGCTTTACAGATTTTATGCGGAAAAGAAAATCGTCCGGAAGCCTTAAGGATTCGGTGATATCGCAATCGAAGACTAAACGGCGGTCTTCCACATGAAAAACCAAGGACCCTGTACAGTAAAAAAGCGAAGAATTAGCTTCGCAAGGTATGTTAAACAACTCATTCTTAATTAACCAAATATGATTTTAGTTGATCAAATAACATATTGAGGTGTAAAAACGTTTATGTGGATTCCAATGTGGTAATAGAATGTGAATGTGATTCTATGTGGTAACTATTTTGATCGTCGAAATGTGTTCCTTGTGTTAATTGTGTAGTAGCAGCCAGTGGACTTGTCTAATAAATGACGTTGGTAACAAGTACTGCGCGTTATTTTTAAGTGATAAGAAAAAATGGAAGTCCAGAAGTAGCATTAACTTTTGTATGAGTACGATCTGGAACACATTGCAGCAGAAGTAAGTAGTAGGGTATGTGGCCATATGGCAGTCCTTCCATCAGAACAGAAAATCAGTTCTGGTTTCAGCGATTTCCGTAATCATAAGAGAGAGAACTGTAAGCCCAAAGAAGGTCAGGAAAACCTCAGAAATGCAAAAATCGAGGACCTGTTAAAAGCCACTGAGAGTGGGAAGAAGATTACTGTTGCAAAACGTTTGTAGCTGTTTGGAATTCATGGGATTGAAGTGCAGAGACGGACTCACGATATTGGTTTGGGGATTCATCGGATATTCTGAGTTAGACACTTCGGTATCACTTGGATAAAACGTTTTCGACGGATAAAACTGTCTACCATGGAGTGGAAATAACGGGAGCTAGTTAGAATTTCAGAATAAGAACTAATGACTATGTTCTACAGTGTGATGAAACTATTGAAAACTTCAAGAACTTTCGCTCGCTTACTTCTAAGAGAATACTATAATTGTCATTTCTTCACTTACTCAAATTCATTACAAAATAAAACGAGTGCACATGATGCAAGTCATCTTCATACTTATATTGAATATCAGTTCGAAGCCATTTCTTTAGATATTGAGGGAAAGTATGTTTCCAAAGGGTCTCGCATGCACTTTGCCAATGTAAGGAATTTAAAGCGCAGAATATCCGTCCGGCATGAATGTATTTATATATTTTTTTCATACGGAGGCTCTTTCAATGACATTCTTTCTGCAGGTTTTGTATGATCGAAAAGAAAATATTTATTAACGTACAATTTGGAAGGTTTAGATAGGTAAATTATTTCCTAGTTCAAATTGAAAATATCATCATTCGTTTAAAATAATTATCATAAAAGCATAGCTTGTGTAGGTTTCGGAAATTAAAATTACATTGTTTCCTTTAATTTAGTTGCCAAAAATGCACACGCTTAATGTACACTGCTCAAAAAAAAAAAATGGGACAGTGCTATATCTCCCGTTCTACTGGGGCGATTCACGAAATTCAAATTGCGTTATTCATGTCTCGAAAGCGCGACTTCGGATATATATGAGATTATATATAGCATATTCTGATAGATTTGACACAAAATCACTTTTTTGAAATAACATACCATTTTTTTCCGATTTCGATTCTACGACTAATATGCCAGAATACAAGTTTGTAAAAATCGTACGGTAGTTTTTAAAAATTAGCTCTCAAAAATTTGCTCCTCAATAATTGAATTGGCAATATTATTAATATCTCTTTTTTTATTAAACTTTTTTGATTTTTTCTTCCATTTCGAAATTAGGTTCATTCCAAATAAATTTTACCATTTTGTGTTTTATTTTTAAATTTTCTATTTTTAAAAATTTTTTAAATTTTTGAAAAAAAATTTTGAATTATAACAAAATTTACCAGGATCTTAAAGTAGGTGTATTTTTAAGCATATGCAAAAAATTTTTTTAGCAAAAGTCTCGAAAATTTAAATTGCGTTTAAAATTTTGCGATGCTTGCTGATTTGTTAATGAGGAAGATATTAAAAAAAACAAAAGTTAAAAAACGCCTTTGGCTATTTAAAATGAACTTCTTTTTTTTTTTTAGTCCAAAGGGATTTGAATCCCGAAGGATTATTACTATTAGTTTCGTTTTGGCATTTTGCGTCGGACGGATAAATGTCGGTTCACTTTTCAAACTGTTGCCATAAAATGTTAGAGTCCTGCATTATATTTGAAGAAATTAAATAATGAAAATCTGCGTAAATGTATGTATATTTCTCGCATTGTCATAAAATAACGGTACATAGAGTCATCGAATTTTGAATAACGTAATCCTCCAACGAATATGAGCATGTGGAAGACCAAATTTGAAATTTGTTTTATGATCGATTTCCTATTTTTTAAAACTTTGACGAATTTTTGATTAACAAACTCAAGGATTTCAAAGCGAGCAATGGCAACGTTGTGCAGAAAAAACATTTTTATCTCCAGCGCGTGAGTCTCTGTATCGGAAATTCTAAAGATATGCTCGTTTTAAAACTATTTTGCGATATTGCTGTTGCACTGGATCTTATGGTTTAAGTGCGAGGAACATGATATTTAATAAAGAAAGGTAACACACAAAATGTTAAAAAACGCCCCTTTGGACGTAATTTAAAATCTGAAACATTTCAGATTTTTTTTTTTTTTTTTTTTT